AAAAAAAAATTTCAACTAATCCAACTAAGTTCTTCTTTATATTTGTAAGTTTGGCTGTTAATCTGAGAGATTTTGGGCGTTACTTTTCTTCATTTTTTACTTACCCATCCTCATTTGTCAGCCTCCTTGTGGCATAATACATTGCTTAAGGATCATCGTTCATATAGGATGAAAGAGTATTACGCTTTCTTTGTTGTGATTTAAACATAAACTTTCAGGGGAGCGGAGAGTCGGAGTTAAGCGAAATGGAACTAGAAAGGAGAAGAAAAGAATTATTGAACAAGCTTGACGAATCACCATCTTCTTCGCAAGACTAGGACGTAATTTTTTTAGTGATCTTTTTGCGCAGCAGCGTAGTTCTCAGTTTTTCCGATATAGTAATTAACTGCTGGTTCCACTTTCATTGAAGTCTTACATTTACTGACTGGAGGTAGATGTATTTTGTGAGGTTTGACGATATTTAATTAGGGCCAGTGATTATACAAAGCGTGTAGTAAATTTGAAGAACTATCTTTTTTTTATTGAAATTTGATCTCCCAACATAACTTACCAGTTATGTACGTTATTTACCTTCATCGATTCTCGTTGCTATGTGTTATTAATGAAATTTATATAGTCGCATGTCATATAAAAAATTTTTTCACGAAGATTTATTAGTCAGGTTTATTTTTCAGTTTTTTTACTTTTTTTTCTTTTTTTTTTATATTAATCATTAGACCTCGCCAGAATTACAACAACGGTGTCGGGAAAGTAGTTGGGGCATCACGAGAAGCTGTTTCATAAGCAACAGTTGTTATTTTGTTTCGTCTAAGCAGCCTTAAATTGTATATTATTTTGCCGTTTCATATTGTATGTGTATCATTAATGAAAAATAAAAGGATGCTCATTACAAATTTATCTTGAAACGTTTATTCTGCGGTTAGAGAACCATTTTTTCGATGCTTTTCTTTGATTATGAGCGAATATAGATATCATTGATCTTTCTTCTTACGAGTTACTTGTTCGTATGTGAGACTTCCTGCTTTGCTGATAAGAATCATATTTTCGAACTAAAGCAGCCTGCAAATTTTAGTTTACTGTCTTTAATAATTTTATAGCGGTGGTGAAAGATGTCAAAGCAGTCAAAACTACCTCTTGGTGTAGATACGAAGAAGGTTCAGTTTTTAGTTTCATAATCCAAAGTTATGTGGTTTTTTAAAAAAGGCGTACAATACGAATCACTTGGAAATCAAAGTGACCTCATCCTTATATGTACAAAGATCCTTTGTATGTACGTGCATCAGGATATTAATTTTTGCAGATTAGCGGGGAATTGTTCACTTTAACTTATGGAGCATTAGTGGCTGAACTGCTTCGAGACTGTGGTAGTGCTGCAGAAGTAATTTCTCATTTGTAGTTCTGGTCCCTCGAATAGTATAGTCTATTTATTTTTAGAGGACAGTTTAAAAAAAATTTTTTTTGAAGGTAAACCGGCAGTTGGACAAGATAGGTTACAATATTGGTTTACGTTTAGCAGACGACTTGTTATCGAAAAATCCACAGATTGGGAGATGTACAGATATTCATCAAGTTGCAGATGTACTAGCAAAAACGGCGTTACGGACGTACTTGGGCATGTATTGGTTATAATATACTTTTGCTTTGGTTTGCTGGAGTACGGTAGTCTATTAAAATTGGCTTAGAGGAGGCGTTACAGCAGACCTTCATACGTATCCTTGAAATTCAAGTATACGACTTGAAATTTTTGCTGCCGTTTTTGTAGCAGCGCTTTGCGGTCATTTAAAAACTTTAAATTGATAAAAAATAGGTTTATTGTAGTGCTATATTTAGGAGTGACCGCTCAGATTACAAACTGGACTCCAGCTAGTGATGAATTTATCTTAGTTATGGATTCTAATCCGCTGACAGAATTTGTAGAAGTCCCAGAAAACTTGGCGTCAGAGTTGAAGTTAGTGAAAAATGAGTTAGTGTTTGTAGTCAGAAATCAGTTGATGCATACTGCATGCCAAATAGTAGTTAAGTGCTTTTGTACAAACAGTTTTTTGAAAACTTGAGGTATAAGCATTAAGCTACATATAAGCAGAAAAGCTTTAGGTATTCACAAGTGATATGCGGAACGATACGAGGGGCTCTTGAAATGATGCATATGGAGGTACAGACATCAATTGTAAGTGATTTGAACCAAAATACGGAAATCCGAGTGAAATTCATTCGTATTCTTCATGATACGATACCGCCTGGAGAAGAGGACTAACATGAATAAATTCTATTTCCACCAAAACATTTTCCACTTTTTGGGCTGTACTGCCCCCGCCATTATTTCACTGATATTCTGCACTCCACAATTCTGGGTAGAGGATTATTTGCTTGGAACGCACTGTTGTACACCGCTGTAAAAAACCGTAAAATGAGATGTTTGAGAATTCGTTATGAATCTTTTGGGATTTGGGTTGTTCAACTTTCTAAGTAGACTAGCTAAGTTGAATGTTTTTTGTCTTGTGCGCGGTGAAATCACTTGAAATTGATTTGCTTCCCCCTGTTTATTTGTTTTTCTTTCTACACTCCGGTCGCTCGGAGTGTACAAGGAAACTCTTCTCTTATGAATTGATTTTTTTCAACGACTGGACATTCTTGAGATGATGTTCTACTTGAGTAGGCTAGAAGAATGGCAATCTCTGAAAACTCTCATGGATCTGTAATCACTTTCTCTTGCAAATTCGTATTTTTATAATAGTAATGTCATAGTTTTTTAAAATGGTCCACTACATTTGAGCCATCTACTGTTGTCTACTTCGTTTTTGTTTTTTTTTTTTTGGTCGTTGTTTACCAATCAAAAGTTTAAAAGCGGTATCAATGCCTAGCTTTTTTTCATTTTTTGTTTTCTCGTAAAATAAACTATAAATAGAAAGTGATAGAAACTACAGTGTTGGAACCAGAACAAAAAACGCGGCTTGTTTTTCTACTCTGTAACAGATTCGGTACGACTGCCAAGAATCAACCCTCGCCAGTGGTGATTTCTTGATTGGTAGGCGTTGAAAAACTGGAGGAACAGTGGGTTTTATACAACTTTGCAGAATATTCTTGTATCTCATTGCTTCTCTAACGTTCCTGGAAATAGCACTGATAATAAATATATTAGAATTCAAGGTATCTTCGTAGCAAGCGTTGTACATTATAAGGTTACCAGTAAAATTTTCCAGTTCTTTTCATAAGCTGCTTGTTTGACAAGTTTGTTACAAAACAGGCAAGACAGAAACAAATTTGAACTTGGCATATATCATCTGTGTGTGAGCGAAGCAGTTCAAAAAAATCTTCCTATTTTTTGGAAACCACAATTCCGAAGACTGCTGACAACAGATGCATAAACCTGCAGTATGTTAACGAACACATCCAAGAATAAGCGCCAAGAATACAGACTAATTATATA